AGGGTTGCTATAGATGATAACACCAAGGTGCAGAACCAGTTTGTGAGTCAGACATGAACAGTGTTTGTTTTATTTTTATCTTTTAACCATATCACCTCCAAATCCCTGTTTCCCACCCAGTCTGGAGAGATCGACGTAGTGAACCACACCACGGGAGACCGCTGCCACCTGAAGTTCGCCCCTTACAGCTACTTCTCCAGAGACATAGCCAGAAAGGTCAGGGAGACGAAGTAGAGACCTTTCAGTGTGTTCCTTTTTAGGCATTTTTTTAAGGCTGTCTCTGATTGTCGTGCATTTAGGTGACAGGTGTGGTGATGGACAAGGACGGGAAGGCCCACTACGTGCTCTCAGGCACGTGGGATGAGAAGATGGAGTTCTCCAGGGTGATGCAGAGCAGCCGGGGAGGGGAGAACGGCACGGAGGGCAAACAGAAGACGGTTTATCAAACCCTGAAAGCCAGAGAGCTGTGGAAGAGAAACCCGCTACCGTAAGAGTTTTTACAGGAAGTAAAACATGTTGTTTTTTATGGAACCAGCTCTTATTTTTTATGTTTGCCTTTTTCAGTGTTACAACATCAAGAACTACACTATGCATTGATTATTGTACACATGAAGGAGGATTATTGTTTAGAACGATTTGTTTTTCTCCATATCTGGGTTATTTTTCAGATTACACACAAACCTGATAGTTTAAAGTCCAAAGCTGATCCCTAGATTGGGTCAAAGGTCAACTAAAATAGTTTCACCTATGGAAGATGGCTCTGGTTCTAGCAAACTGAGGCCGTGGGGCCGGCGTTAGACCCGAGCGTTAACACATCCTCCTGCCCTGTTTCCCACACTGAAGCTGGGTTCACTCGACTCTTTCTGTTAACTTGATGCTGGTTTACATTTTCAGTCTCACACTAGAATTGGTGTAAAATAAAGAAGGAAGCCAGATTTTGATGAGTAAATGGTTCCTAATAAACCAGATCAGCCTTAATATAAGGTGGGGTTTAAAATCTTAACACTGGATGCATTTTTGCTGACAGGTGGAGCTCCTGTGTGCAGTAATCCGAGCTAACGCGGTACTTTTTCATTTGTTCCTTCTGCATGGGTCTTTGTCTTGGGACATGGGCAGCTCCATGCAGCCGTCACACCCAGTTTTGCATATTCAGAGATGGTTTATCCTCTGATGTTTCAATCAGGCGTGCGCGGGAGCTTGTAAAGCGCCTAAGCTAAAGTAAAATGCACATTTATACGTTTTTCTATACGTGATTCATTAGAACAGTAGTCGCCAACCTGGTGCCCGTGGCACCATGATGCTCCAGGAACGGAGGTGCCCACAGGCCTTGTCTAAAAATCAGCTGCCGTTTTTTTAAATCACAAATGTATTAATACACAATTTAAAACAACAGGTTTCTTCAAAAACATTAAAATAAGTTTATTATTCATTAAGTTTAGTTGAATTCTGATCTATTCTAGTTCAAAGGTCGGTATTGTATCAACCTGGTAGCCCTTAGTGTGGCTCATCGCCCATGAGGTACCTCTCAGGCTCACAAAGGTTGGTGACCCCTGCACTAGAAGCTCCAGAACGTGGTTTAAATTTGTACACAATCATAATTAAAACCACACTAAATACGTTTTTTGCTTCTCCATCCTTGTTATTATTAAGAGTCCAGCAGCAACAAAGCCAGGTCACCATCAGTCTGTGACTTTGTAGCCTCCTTTAGCTCCCTCAAAATAGTGTAGGCCATGCTGATGTTCACTCTGGTTTTAGCTCTTTGCCTCATCTCCAAAGACATTACTCTGACTTTTACTTCCAGGCTCCACCGTAATGCAAAAAAAAAAAAAAAAAACAACAACAAAAAATCTTGAGTTCTTCGTCTTCTCTTTCTGTTGACGGTCAGCAAACAGAAACAGCTACCTGCTAGCCTTCATATGAGCTACCTGCACAGGAAGCAGCTAGGGTCGTCCCACCAGTGAATCTACCCATTCCTCAAACCTATTAATGGCAGTTTCTGGTCAGCAGAGGGCAGCAGAGTGCTGTCCCATGTGAAGTTGGTTAAACTTCTGCCTCAAGAGTCACTGAAACCACTTTGAAAGCAGTAGCCTTAATAAAGCCTTATAAACATTTTAGCGTTGCTGTAAAACTTTTGGCTTTTCTTTATCGTCATGTTTAGCGACGGAGCGGAGTCCATGTACTTCTTCACGGCGCTGGCTCTTACCCTGAACGAGCCGGAGGAGGGCGTGGCGCCCACAGACAGCCGGCGGAGACCCGACCAGCGTCTGATGGAGGACGGTCGCTGGGACGAAGCCAACAGCGAGAAGCAGCGTCTGGAGGAGAAGCAGCGCAGCGCCCGGCGGGAGAGGGAACGCGAGGCCGCCAGCCAACGAGCCTCCAGCCAATCAGAAGAAGGTAGGAGCAAGCTGACGTTACTTTATATTCCTTTCTGCCTTTCTTGGGGGAAATCCTAAAATCAAGGGGCAAAAAAAAAAAAAAAAAAAAAAGAAATCAGTCATTCCCACCTTTTTTCTTCTAAAAGCTGTCGATGAGGACTCTTTTGGTGATCCCTCCCTCAAAAGCAAGTATTCCTCTTAAAATTTCTCCCACTTCCTCATTTCTTTGACTCATGTTTTCTCTGTTTTTGGGGCACATTTTGACGACCTCTTTCTCTTCCAGGTGTGCCTCACGACAACTATAAATCTCGCTGGTTCGATCGCTGCGAGGACCAAATCACAGGTGAGCAGATTCACATCTATAACGGAGGCTACTGGGAAGCCAAGGAGCTGGGCAGCTGGGAGGGCTGCCCTGATATATTCTGACCTCAGAGTGTAAATTGCCCCGAAGAGACTGAACTCCTCAGCCGCCCAGACGGCTACGTAAAAGCCCCAGTCACCTGATGGGACGGCTGCTTCCCTTCCAGCGTCTCTCTGTTCTAAGAGATCTCCCGGATGGACAGTCGTTGCTGTCCGTTTGAGAGGAGAGAGAGAGAGAGAGCGTCCTGTTTCGGTTGTCGTCTACTTAAGTCTCAGCGTCTACTTGTTTTGTTATCTGAAAAAGGATTTGGATTAAAATGAATGCTTCGGGTTTTTGATTTGGGTCGGCATAAAGGAGGAAGGGATGATGTAAGCAGTGCTTCCAAAATTAGCTGCAGGTTGTTCTTCTGAGTCTGTGGGATCAGGAGCAAAGCAAGTCGAGGGCGGACGGCGTTCTGTGCGCTTAGAAAATAAAACTCTAAAAAATGGGGGAAACCTGGGTAATATATACGTTTATATTTAATTCTGATTATGACTTTATTAAAATGTCTGTTGGTGGCCTTTAAAACATTAAGAGTTGTTCTCGTTTCTCTTTGATTTAGTGTCTTAATGTGACAAAGTGAAAGTTTGCGAGTGTGCGTGTGCGTGTGTGTGTGTGTGTGCGTGCGCGCGAATGAAATCATCATCTCTTCTATTGTTATAAAAAATAGCAACTTTGAATCACAAAATGCCTAAAGGGAAACTTTGACCACTCTGAAGTGTGTTTCTCTGTAAAAGCGATGATTATTTTACTTGCTGTTGTTTGCTTCCTGAACAGCCTCTGTTTGGAGAAATAACTTACATCTAAGACCAATGTGGAATCGCTCAGATCTTCAAATTTTATTTTGGCTTTTATTCTAAAACCTTCATATGGTTGTGAACATTAAATTCAATGGTAATTAAGAACTTCAATAGCTAAATGTAGCATTTTGAGTGTGTGCAGGGGTCGAGTCTGGCGGGAACTTCTAGATATTTCTGCCAAAATACCAGTTTATTGAAGAAGATTTCTAAAATAACGTTTGAATGTGATATTGTGATGGTTGCAGCTATTTAAATCCACACGTACATCATGGCTTTCTCTGTGCCTAGCCTTTAGCTTGTCAATCCAGTAGAAGAAATTGGTCGACTGGAATCGGCCAACATTCATTGGAATAGGCTTGGGTTTGTTTGTGTGTAATCTGTCAAAAATCAACATTAAAATCTGCAATTTAATCTACTGAGTTAAACGCTATTGTTTCAACTTAAAATAATCTGGCAGTTATAGTCTTATTAGACATCTATCGAAAATACCTAAATCTGCATCGCCCTGGAAACCAGAATTGGTGCAACACTCTGTTATTAAAATGTTATTGCCATGAACTAAGGCCATTCAGGAGGATAAATACCGCGATGAATGAAGTAGTCATTTATAATTTACACATAGAAGCACGCTTCAGCGTGGCCAAAACATCCCTTTAAAGTTGTGATTGTCTAGATTACTCGTTGACCATCAACACTGTCATATTTTATAGCTGAAAAGGAAACAAATGGGGTTTTAACTACGTAGATCTACATGGTGAAATGTGTATCTTTGCCTTAACCAGGAGCAGACCTGCTCTCACCTGTGAAAACGTCACAGCTAAACGAACAAAACATTTCTAGTTTTGTTGTAGAAACACTTGAAGGGACTTGTTGGTTGATTTAGTGTAAACTGACCTAAGTTTACTGTTGAGAGGTCGCACAAATAGCAACTTCTAGTGAAACCACCCCTTTTTCACAGTGCTAGAATCTCATTTTGCCAATAAAATAACAAAGTTAGATCATATTAGCAAATAACTGAGCAAAGTTTTGGTGACTTGGTACGTAAAGTAAAGTAAATGCAGTGGTGGGAGTGAATAAGGCGCCTTTTGTGTATCCGTGGATGAATTCACACTTATGCAAGTATAATTTAACACCAAAAACATGACTGTGTGTGTGTGTTTCACAAATTTGTGTGTAAGTGTACTTAAAAATGAAGAATAAGCGGAGTTTAAATGGATTGCGGATAACAATGACTATACATGTGTATATATAATAGTATCGATGACCGTATTGTAGTCTCTTTTTCTTTTTCCTCAAACTTTTTTGTTCTTCTTGTAATACTGGGAGAGAACTGTCTTCACGTTCAGAAAAAAGGGAGTTTATGTTCATGACTCGGAACGGAGACGTGACATTGTTCAGTATTTTGTATTGGAGCAGATTTTAAAACTAAAATCTGTAATAAATGCTGATATGTCAAACACTGTTTGGTCTTTATTTAAATTAAATTGACCTGTGTTGATAATGCTGAATAGCTGCAGTTTCTTTTGGAATGTTTTCTTCTTATTAAAAGATTTTTAATATCTAAACCTGCTTAACAAAACTCTTCACAGTTAAAATATTTTAAATAAAGATTTTTTTCAAGTTTAAATGTTGGATAAGTCGTTTAAATTCTCCACTTGGTTTCCAGCATTAGGACAACCTGATCGGTGATCACATCCTTTCATTCAGAGTAAAGAATTCTTACACATCTTCAACTGATCTGATGACACTGCCAGCTCACTAGTGGGCGAGGTCTAGCATAAGATATTTAAAGGTACAGTAAGGAATATTTTTACAATGAAATAATCACAAATCAGCCTAATGTCCCGATCATGTTGGAAGAAAGGTTACATTGCAACATGTTTCCGTGTCTGCCTGCTGGGGGTTGTCAGTTCTTCTCCTTTTAAAAAGACCAGAGTGACTGTTTACTATCTCTGAGCCTGTGCTATAGCCAAGTCTGGGCCGGCAAATGCTGCAGCGCCAGCGTTGGTCTTCCACACCCGCCAATAAAAAACAGCAGCGTTGTGGGAAAAAACAGCTCATGAAAACCCAAAATTCCTATCTCAAACAATCTGCATATTTCATCTGACCAATAAAAGTAAAGTGTTTTTAATACAAAAAAGTCAACCTTCAAATAATTATGTTCAGTTATGCACTCAATACTTGGTCGGGAATCCTTTTGCAGAAATGACTGCTTCAATGCGGCGTGGCATGGAGGCAATCAGCCTGTGGCACTGCTGAGGTGTTATGGAGGTCCAGGATGCTTCGATAGCGGCCTTAAGCTCATCCAGAGTGTTGGGTCTTGCGTCTCTCAACTTTCTCTTCACAATATCCCACAGATTCTCTATGGGGTTCAGGTCAGGAGAGTTGGCAGGCCAACTGAGCACAGTAGTACCATGGTCAGTAAACCATTTACCAGTGGTGTTGGCACTGTGAGCAGGTGCCAGGTCGTGCTGAAAAATGAAATCTTCATCTCCATAAAGCTTTTCAGCAGATGGAAGCATGAAGTGCTCCAAAATCTCCTGATAGCTAGCTGCATTGACCCTGCCCTTGAAAAAAAACACAGTGGACCAACACCAGCAGCTGACATGACACCCCAGACCATCACTGACTGTGGGTACTTGACACTGGACTTCAGGCATTTTGGCATTTCCCTCTGCCCAGTCTTCCTCCAGACTCTGGCACCTTGATTTCCGAATGACATGCAAAATTTGCTTTCACCCGAAAAAAGTACTTTGGACCACTGAGCAACAGTCCAGTGCTGCTTCTCTGTAGCCCAGGTCAGGGGCTTCTGCTGCTGTTTCTGGTTCAAAAGTGGCTTGACCTGGGGAATGCGGCACCTGTAGCCCATTTCCTGCACACGCCTGTACACGGTGGCTCTGGATGTTTCTACTCCAGACTCAGTCCACTGCTTCCGCAGGTCCCCCAAGGTCTGGAATTGGTCCTTCTCCACAATCTCCCTCAGGGTCCGGTCACCTCTTCTCGTTTTCTGCCACACTTTTTCCTTCCCACAGACTTCCCACTGATGTGCCTTGATACAGCATTCTGGGAACAGCCTATTCCTTCAGAAATTTCTTTCTGTGTCTTACCCTCTTGCTTGAGGGTGTCAATGATGGCCTTCTGGACAACAGTCAGGTCGGCAGTCTTACCCATGATTGTGGTTTTGAGTAATGAACCAGGCTGGGAGTTTTTAAAAGCCTCAGGAATATTTTGTAGGTGTTTAGAGTTAGTTGATTCAGATCAGGTTAATGGCTCGTTTAGAGAACCTTTTCATGACATGCTAATTTTTTTAAAGGAATTTTGGGTTTTCATGAGCTGTATGCCAAAATCATCAATATTAGAAACAATAAAAGGCTGGAACTACTTCAGTTGTGTGTAATGAATCTAATATATATGAAAGTCTAATGTTTATCAGTACATTACAGACAATAATGAACTTTATCACAATATGCTAATTTTTTGAGGACCTGTATATCATGCACATATATCAAACTCTTCAGCTACTACTACTCTCTCTCAAAATGTCATAATATGCCAGATGTGAGGCAAAGCGTTGCAATATTTTAGTTTATGTGGCACAACTTGTGAAGTAGAAATTTGCTCTGCGTAGTGAACGTACGCTGTCCTCACAGCAAGTATTCAGACCCCCATCATCAATTTTTCACAGTTTATTTAGCAGCCATTTGCTAAAAATTAAATTCATTTTTTCCTCATTATTATACACAGCATCAATATTGACAGAAAAACTGAATTTTAGAAATTTCTGCAGATTTATTAAAGAAAAACTGAAATATCACATGGTCCTAAGTATTCAGACCCCTAGCTCAGAATTTATGTTCATGTTTTTTTTATTTGGCAGGCGCTTTTATCCAATTGCTAACCTATAGGGCATGTTGTAGTCTGTGGGGGAAACCGGAGTACCCAGAGAAAATTCACGCATGCATAGGGAGAACATGCAACTCCACGTAGAAAGACCGCAGCTGGGTTTCGAACCTGCAACCTTTTTGCTGTGAGGCAAGAGTGTTAACAACTGCGCCACCATGCAGCCACTTTTTAGTAGAAGCACACTTTTGAGCTAATACAGCCATGAGTCTTCTTGGCAAAGATGCAACAAGTTTCTTACACGTGGATTTGGGGATCTTCTGCCATTCCTCCTTGCAGATCCTCTCCAGTTCCGTCAGGAATCAGATGGATGGTGTACCTTTGTGAACAGCCATTTTTAGGTCCCTCCAGGGATGCTCAATTGGGTTTAAGTCAGGGCTCTGGCTGGACCATTCAAGAACAGTCAGGGTTGCCGTGAAGCCACTCCTTTGCTCTTTTAGCTGTGTGTTTAGGGTCACTGTCATGTTGGAAGGTAAACCTTCAGCCCAGTCGAAGGTTCTGAGAACTCTGGAGAAGGTTCTTGTCCAGGATATCCATGTACGTGGCACATTCATTGTTCCCTCGATGGCAACCACTCGTCCTGTCCCTGCAGCTGAAAAACACCCCTACTTCATGATGCTGCCACCACCATGCTTCACTGTGGTGAATGTATTGGACAAGGGATGAGCAGTGCCTGGTGTTCTCCACACATACCACTTAGAATTAAGGCCAAAAAGTTCTATCTTGGTCTCATCAGACCAGAGAATCTTACTTCTCACCATCTTGGGGTCCTTCAGATGTCTTTTAGCAGACTCCATGTGGGCTTTCATGTGTCTTGCACTGAGGAGAGGCTTCCGACGGACCACTCTGCCATAAAGCCCTGACTGATGGAGGGCTGCAGTGATGGTTGACTTTCCACAACTTTCTTCCACCTCCTGACTGCATCTCTGGAGCTCAGCCACAGTAATCTTTGGGTTCTTCTTTACCTCTCTCACCAAGGCTCTTCTCCCCTGGTAGCTCAGTTTGGCCGTACGGCCTGGACGGGTTCTGGTCATCCCAAACATCTTGTATTTAAGGATTATGGAGGCCACTGTGCTCTTAGGAACATCAAGTGCAGCAGAGATGTTTTAGTTACCATGGCCAGATCTGTCTCTGAGCTCTTCAGGCAGTTCCTTTGACCTCATGATCCTCTTTTGCTCTGACGTGCATTGTGACCTGTAGGTCTTATATAGACAGGTGTGGCTTTCCTAACCAAGTCCAATCAGTATAATCAAACACAGCTGAACTCTAATGAAGGTGTAGGACCATCTCAAGGATGACCAGAAGAAATGGAAACCACCTGAGTTAAATACATGAGTGCCACAGCAAAGGGCCTGAATACTTAGGACCATGTGATATTTCAGTTTGTACTTTTTTAATAAACCTGCAGAAAAATGTGAAATTCTGTGTTTTTCGGTCAGTATAGGTATTGTGTGCATTGATGAGGAAAAAATAAATGTAATTTACTTTAGCAAATGGCTGCAATATAGCAAAGAGTGAAAAATGACGGGGGTCGGAATACTTTCAGTACCCACTGACTAACGAGATACAGTGTTCTGCTGCTCATAAGTAACCAAACTAACTGTAGTGTAAATGTTTATGAAAAACAAAATTGTAAAGCTAAAAAGAAACCTTCATGGCCACAAAAAAGTTTTTTTTAAATGACAACACATTAAATTTATTTTTTTGCTATGTGAACGATATGTAAACCATGTAGAAAAGGACATAACTTTTTTAGACTAAAGGAACTGTTAATCCTTGTAGATGAAAGTCGCTTGAAGAAAAGCATGAAACACTTGAAGCGTTTTTTAGTATATATATATGTGTGTGTGTGTGTGTTTGTGTGTGTGTGTGTGTTGTTTCTTGATAAAAAAATGTCCTAATTTCTGCAATTAGCCCAGGATCTGGATCAATCTTTCTTTATGTCAGTGACTTGATGCAATTTGCTGGGTTCCTTATATAGGAAACATTATTTCTGATTGGCTTAATGAACTGTGAATTGGAATGTTTACTATGTGAAGTGCCTTGAGACGACTCTTGTCGTGATTTGGCGCTATATAAATAAACTTGAATTGAATTGAATTCTTTGCTGTATTTACTTGTTAAATTTATTTTTATAACAAATTAAACTTAAAAGTGCGTTGAATTGGCATTTTCTTCATCATTATAACTTACCTATTACAAAGTATTTATCTGCAACAGCCTGCGCTGACGGCCATATTCTGGAGTAACAATCAATGGCCGCAAACGGCCCATGGGCCACACGTTGAGCACCCCTTGCTCACATAGATTTTATTTCACTCTCTCTGTTAGAAGAGCCGTTTCTTCTGCCGTACACATCCCGGGCGCCTCTCGGTTGTGTCATGCCAGCAGATTTCTTTTCAGCCATTATTTATTTATGCTTTTGAAAAGCAGACTGGAACCTACCATCTTTTCCATACGGGAACGGTGGGTCGGAGGGGGAAGTTGGGGTGGGGCTTTGAGTTCGACTGACCTCACAGCTGACCAAAGGAAAGGATCGAGACTCTGCATTGCTCTCAGGACACACCCAGCCTGCGTGATGTGATGGTTGAGAGACGGTGAGAGTCCAGAACGTGCAGCTTCGGCCTCGTAACCGAGTCTGGGACGGGAATGCTGAGTCAGTGAAACTACATAAAAGCCTGGGAGAGGCTGGAAGAAGGTAAACTGCAGGGAGAGAAAGGTAACAAGCAGGGTAAGTTGGGAAAGATGGGCATGGTGATACCCTTCCACTTATTTCATTCGTTTTATTTTAATACACTTTAAACAGTATTAAAACTAAGTTCTGATTTAGTTTAAAACCAGAACTGTTTTACAGCTAGAGGCCAGATCAGATGTCACATGAAAACATCTGCTTTGTGTCGCAGTGGCAGCTTCAGTGAACCCAGTGACATCAGCACTGACGAACCTGATGCCGCCCACTGACCGGAGCAGTGGATATCATATTACTAGCTTTATTCAGCAGAGATGCGTAATGAGAATAGAAATGCTCTAAACGACGTGCCTTAGTTGCATGAATCCTGGATTTTCACACCAGCTTCCCCCTGCTGTCAGTCAGATGGAGGTAGATGAGCCTGTGGGTTTGCCGAAGCTGTCCCGGGTCGCTGTGTGTGGTGGTACCCATGGCGATGAATTGTCCGGGGTTTACTTGGTAAGAGAGCAGCTGAAGCAATCAAAGAGGAAAGAAGCTGATCACGAAGAGCCTACGCCTGTGTTGATGGTGCTGTCTAACCCGCGGGCCACTCAGCAGTGCCGCAGATACGTCGACACTGATCTAAACCGCTGCTTCACTCGTTCAGTGCTGGAGTAAGGGGATGACAGGATGATGTTGCTCACGAGAACAAGCCTGGTTGTAATAATTTGTCTGTTTCCAACAGTGGTCCCACGTCAGACACAGACCCCTATGAGATTATCCGAGCCAAAGAACTGAATGCCATGCTGGGTCCAAAAGGCAGTCGTGGGGCAGTGGATCTTATTTGCGACCTCCATAACACAACCGCTAACATGGACCTGTGTTTCATTGCGTATTCTGACTGTGACTGGATCAGTCTTCACATATTCAAACATCTGCAGGTAAATACAGTCATCACTCTCAAGCAATGGCCACTTTAAGAATTGTTTCATTGTAAAGGCAGGAAGGTATTTTGATATTATTTAACTTTTTAGCAACTAAAATTTTCAGCTTACTTTCCAATCTTTGTAAATGTGGAGATTCTATTTCAGCTGTGCAACATCTGTATGAGTGTTGGTAAATCTCCTGCTGCCACAATGCTAAGTTAGACAAGTCATTTAGTTAATAGGAATATAAATGTCTATGATTTCAGCTAGGCTAGTTACAGTATGGAACATATATCTGAATTTTCAGCGGTTTAGTTATCAAATCAACCAATCCACAACTGGAACAATCCTACTTGCCCTCTTCACTGTCTTGCCAGACTTGGAGAGGGAAAAGTAAACAAAATTCTGTTTATTAGCCCTTCATTAGCTTTAAATTCAATACTCGCATATCAGCTTATAGCAAGACACCCATTAGGCTGAGTACAGGTGCTCCTCAGGGATGTGTGCTCAGTCCTGTACTCTTTTGACATGGCTGCTTTGCCAAATTAAACACAATTTATTTCATGAACTTTGCTGATTGTACAACAGTGGTTAGACTCTAGTAGTGGATTTTAGGACCTCCTCCTTCTAGGACTTCATACAGAAAATGAATCAGCAGCATGGACGCAAATTTTTTTTTGGGGGGGGGGGGGGGGGGCATGTCCCCCCCCTCACACACACACTTTTTTCAAAGTCTAATTTTGACCCCTGCATTTTTATCATCCAAAACTAATATTACACTATATTAAACAGACACTGGTTGAGCTCTAGGACCAAGCGGAAAACACCCGTTTGTGTTGAAGACTAGCCTGGCAAGCCAGACTAAATAAATGTATTATTTAGTCTGGCCACGCTCCATTGATGGCTCTTGGTTGTGGGGCAGGTTCTACCGTTGTCTTTCAAATGATCTCCGCATTCCACTGGACAATGAATGTGACATACTCTTGTTTCACTCTGTTGCGTCATCCCACCCACCAGGCATATAGAGTGCCCTGATTGGCCCACAAAGCGGATAAAGCTCTGTGATTTGTTCACTAAGCAGATAGAGCACTATGATTGGCCCACCATTATGGACCAATCACAGCTCTTTATGTGTTTGAAACCCCTCCAGAGAGCTGTGATTGGCTAGCCAGAGTCCTGGTAGGAGCTGCTGAGGTTCCAATGGAGCATGCCTAGACCATTCTTTGCAATGCAAGAATTTGGTCTAGTTCACTAGGCTAGTTGAAGACTGCTTCCCCTTAGAACATACTGTAAAGCTAAACCCCCCCCCCACCCCACCCCACCCACCGGTCCTCATGCCAGTTCTGTCCCCTCCACTTCTAAAGTGAAAATATGTCCATGATCAGCTGCAACCTTTTAAGGGTCCACATCACTAGTGGACTCTCAACACAGCATGCCTGTCCAAGAAAACTCGGCAGTGGATGCACTTACATCAGCTGCAGCGTAGCTAACAGACAGGCTCTTACTTTTCTCCATTGAAATCCAAGATAGCCCTCAGTATTGTGAGAGATCTTTCTCATCTGCCCTTGAGCTGTCTAACCTTTATACCTTATAGATGGCAAAATAAATTACGTAGAGATAGAAGGTTCAACTTGATTCCTGCTAAAAGTTATAGAAGAAAAACTGTTAAAATATTTTATTGTTTATAACATGCAGCATGTTGCAGTTTATTGTACAGTGTGTTCTAAAAGTAAACATCTTTAAATGAAACTTCCATGTATGAACAGAACAGGTAAATGGAGGCTGGTTGTCTTTTTCAGAGGCAGATGCCAGATACACCAATGAGATTCATCCATTTGGATGTTTCTAATAAAGAATCATATTCTCTTGATTCGGTAGGAAAACATGGGTTTGGTGAGTTGTTATGCTTTATTGTGATTTTGGTGAACCAAGAGCATTAGGTCGGATTAGGTTTATCTTTTCAAACTGTGTTTCTGCAGCCATGGAAATCGGTCCTCAGCCCCATGGAGTGGTGAGGTCTAACATCTATGCAACAATGAAAGTAGGAGTCCAGCACATGCTGGATTGGATCCGCCACTTTAACTCAGGTTCATGTAATGCCGGTTAAGCAGTTCACTTGGATTAGCTAGCTGTTTGATTTAAACCATGACACCTTTGCTTTGCATTTATGACTAGGCTCAGTGTTTGACGGAGGATTTGTTGATGTGTACACCGTGGTTAAAAACATTGACTACCCAAGAGACGGCGAGACTCACAACATCACAGCAGCCATTTATCCTTCCCTCCAGGTGAGGCCTGATTCAGACTTGATCCATTAAACATTCTTATATAAATTATACCTAACCTGAGCATGGGTTGTTAATGTAATCATCCAACTGGATTAATATAAACTACCTAATGATTAAGTACTTGGAAAGTTGGACGTACAAGACTACTTTCCTTTTGTTCAGAGGGAAATAATTAGCCTTTGTTGATGGTCACGTCAATGAACCATAACTGGTAATTTAGTTGCCAACATTCTTTTCATACAATCTATGTTCACATCAAAGGGTTGTCATATGTTTTCATATTGTTGAACAATAACATGGAATGACACCCAGATTTCATTACCTTTGATGTACTTATTAATGAAATGAAAAACATGTTGGCACCTCTGCTTGGTTATTTATTTGTTGTTGCAGCTTGAGTAAACTTTACTGTTAAGTTGCAATATACCTTAGCCACCACTAGGAGGCCTGTAAGACACAAATTCCCACATATTGTTTATTATAACATCTCAATTGTCCTCCTCACAGGACCGGGACTTTTGCCTGCTCCACCCTGGAGACCCCCTGTTCCAGACCTTCTCAGGGGAAACCCTAAGATATAAAGGCAGGGAACCTCTTTATCCATTCTTCATCAATGAATGTGCTTACTACGAGAAGGGCATTGCGCTCTCCCTGGCAAGAAAGAAGTCCGTCATGATTCCTGCAATTCGGATGCAAACCGATACAGAGGAACGTGCATGTGATTGGAGTTTTACATCGGAAGAAGAGGAGTGAAGGGGTTCCCTAAAATAAGACCATCATACAAGTATTTATTTTTTACAAAAGCTTTTATTAAAAAGGACAGCTCGTGTAGCTTTGCACAAGTTGATTCACAGCAGATGAGCAACACTTTGTAAGTTCACAAACATCACAAGTTACAGTAAATTCAGGGATGGAACTTCTTTAGACTGATGTCTGAATGTAGAGTACGAGTTATCAAATCAAATGTAGTGCAGCATTCATAGATATCCATACATTTCATTAAAGTTGATGAAGCAGTGCTAATTATAAAATCCATGTATTACTTTGCACTGTTCGAAAAATAGTTTCATCACTTTTAGACAATGTTCAAGATAAAACATGTTTTTAAGTGCAAAGGAACAACGTATGGCCTTGAAAATTACATCCATGATGCCAACAGGAGAAAAGGTTTCTCTTAAATTATGAAAAAGGAAATAACTAAGAACAACTTGGAAAATCTGAATGAATAAAAAAAACTACAATACAAAACTGGGAAAGGAACTAAAATGACTAGGAAGGATCCGTACACGATCAACGAAACAGTAGTTACACAGCTTTGTCAAAAAAACAACAAAATGTGGTTTTCAAACATGAAAGTAAAAATATTACAAATGTGCACAAGAAATAACACAATAAATCAAGAGAATGAAATATAAAGAAACATGATCTGACAAATGCATGATATAAATGGTATAACATACCAGAACACGATGATGTGCTAAAAAAAACAAAATCATTCAAAAGTAGTTTTTTTTTTCTTCTCAATATACCTTCAGCATAGATTTCAAACTCATAATAAATACAAAAAAACTTTCACTTGGGATAGTTCCACTAAACTTTTAATTATTTTTGTCCTCAATAAACAACAAACTTTAAATAAGGTAAACAATAAAACAACAATGTGACCCTGAAAACGGCAAATAATTTATATCAGTTAATTTTTTTTAAGTTACTGGAGTTTCATTTATTATATAATAATACGGAAGCAAATTGCTGTCAACTCTAATCCAAGTAAAACCGTATCACAATTACAATAAGGAAAAACAACCAAAGAACGTAAAAATGTTACCTTATTCTTTGCCTTTCATTTTATTCGTCTCTAATCTTTAAGTTAGCTGTAAACATTTTAAATAGTTGGCTTTCTGTGAAGTTCCCTGAAGCGACTAACATACCAATGAAATGTTCTCGTCCGTCTGACAAACGTCGGTAATCCTTACCGTACTTTATGCACGATCCAAGGCGTAGCACGTTGACTAACTGTTAAGGTGTTATATTTAGTAAAACTGGTGGTGCTCTCTCATTATATAATACAAACTTATACAATATTTCTTCACTGATCTCTATTTTGTGACATCTTTAAACCGAGGGTTTAGCTGATTTTTTAACTCTAGTAGTTTATTGGTTGGGGAGTGGTTTGGCCACTTTTAGTCGTTCTGACTTTTGGATTGACTACAGACAGCATTGTGTCCAGTTAATCTATTCCGGAAACCTTTCAAAGTGTGCTATGCTTTAAGGTTAACCTATAGAAAACATCAAGTAAAAATGGTTTTGTAACGAGTCATAAAACGACTTTAAAGACCAAACTACACAAGCTGAGAGGTTTTTGAATTTTCCTGTTCTTATTTAGATTTGTTTAAATTTAAATCTCTTTAGTGTTGAAGTTTGTTTTTGGTGATGCATTACAACAAAAGACACACAAAAAAAATCAAGTGATCCTGTTAGATTTTTATTTGATCTGCAAATCTTACAACTTACGCCATTTAAGTTTTTATTTAGTCATCTGTTCGACCCAGACTTTCCATCGGATAAGAAACTTGTTTTCCTCGCTAGCTGAGTGGCGCGATCCGTGCTACTAATAACGTTTACGATGCGAATCGGCAGCCAAAGTATTCCATGCAGCTGATCCCACAAGGTCCCAAAGTCACTGGAGAATTGGAAGACCACACAGGTTTTAGGTAGTTCATACAATAACAAAGAGAAAGATGGCAGCGTGTATCCAAAAGGTCTGTGGTTTATTTTCTGTTGTTCAACCTCGTCTACGAAGGATTCACTGGTAATGACTTACTTTTATTTTTTACTAGTTAAATAACTGAAACTCTGCATGTGTCTTTTATTTTGAAAGTTTCTTACACTGCTCCTGTGTTTAATCTCCTGTCTGGCTCGATCTGAACTGTGGCCTTTGACACATTCTGTAAGTGTGGTGCATAAAAAATAGACCCAACATTTTTATTTAGTGGAGCGATGCGACAGTACACTTCTGTAGCACGTCCGTGACATGCCACCTCCCACTGAGTGGAAGCACACCAAGTATTTTAACGGTAGCTGTTAGCTGAGTATTGCGCTTTGTGGATGTTATCTGATGCTTACGCATCTGCTGGAAAGCTGGGGTGAAGCTTTAAATACTTTCCTGTTTAAACATAGTCAGAGGGACTGGTGGTGCCAGTGCTTGGCAGCCTTTGCTCCGTCAGTGCGCCCTACGGCAGCTGTGGCTACATTGTAGCTCATCACCACCAGTGTGTGTGTGTTGTGTGTATGCCTGGGTGAATGAGTGTTGCAAAGTGCCTTGGGGTTGTAGAAGACAAAGGCGCTACAGCAAAAAGACTTTTTTTTTAAAAAGGATGCTGCTTCTTCCTACGGCGTATGTAGAACTGCCCCACGGACTGATTACCATAGCGCTGAATACCTGTTATTTGTTAGCTCTGATTGGTCTTAGCGCTGTCCAATAGCATGCCGAGACAGTTTAAAAGACAACCGTAGATTTTGTACTACGACTGGGTTCTGTCCATAGGTCGTGGCCAGACTCTACATATACATACATAGGACTGCTTGCCAGGCTAAAATTCTCCTTCTCTTGGTCATTCATCTCAATCAAACATAAAGCATTTAGCAAAATTAGCATGCTAAAGTAGAATTTAAGCATATATTGAAATAAATGCAAATATTAAAATGTACCGTAACAATAGTTAAAGGTTATCTTTTTATTTACTGATTGCACTTAGTAGTTAATGACCTGTCACCTACCAGCTTTAACCTCTAAATATTTTCTCGTTCACTGCAGATTTCTTTTTGGAAGCTTAATATAATGTAGATCGCTCTTTGATTGACCTCAGTTAAATAAAAAACACTGAAAATGTTCAACATTGAAAAGCTAATGGGTGAGTGGGGCCTAAACCCAGAATGATAATAAAACTCCCACAGCTTTTTCTGTAAAAATTAACTATATCATAAATTTTACAAGGCCATTATTTTAGCATTTCAGTGTTACCTTGGAGCAATTAATCATCAGGGCCACAATTGCTAGTTTTAGTTCATTTCTATTCAATTTCCTTTAGAAATATATGTAAATGGCCATTTACATTTACAGCAAAGTAAAGGATGAAAGAGGGCTTACATGAACCATTTTGGTCCCAGCCCCAACGTAACTACCTTGTCGAGCTCCATTTTTCCTAACTGAGCAATCTAGAACAGGTAAGATACTGATAGATCATAACTTGTAACAATCCTGAAAAAATCTGTACTGCCACTCAGGGGTCCTCAATTATGATGGTCCGAGGGCCACACACACAAAAAAGACCCAGAAGCAAGAGGGCCGGAGGGGGAATGGGGGGGCTGCAATATAAAGCAGGACACCACCTGTCCCCCTCCCTCATGTCCATGCTGTGTCTGGAGGAGCAGAGAAGAAACAAGATCTCCTGTAACTTAAAATGAACCAAAGCTTCCTCCCAGTCTCTCTTTAAGCTGAATTTAACATCAGTTTATCATCATGAAACAAAAGAATAAAGTGGAACAAGAACTTCTATCTTGTATTTCTCTTCACTTTTAACTTCTCCGTGTCCCTAAATAAAAGAGACAGATGATTACACTACAGCTGCCGTCACTCACCCCGCCCCCTTCCCAAGACCGGACCTCCTGACATCACAGCACTCGGTCTGACTGAGCGCTTCCAGGAGAAACAATAATGAACTCATGAAAAAAACACGTTTGGAGGAGCGTCCTCTGATCCTCTCTTGTGTGGGCAGACAATCTCCCTCTCTCTCTCTCTCCGTCTCTATCTCTCGGATCGAGCGAGCGAAGCGCGACAACCCGCTCAACTACATAATTTACGGCCCAAATCCAACAGAACCGGTCGGGCTGATTCGGTTCGGGTTCGGTCTCAGGTTACAACTCCAGCGCTCATCCCTGCAGTACCACATGAAGGCAGACCAAAGTTTCCTACCCGGTAAATGTGGAGAACACCGCTCTGACAGATGTGGGTGCTGCGCTGGTGCCGCCGTTAAAATAACACAACTACATTCCACTATAACTGATTATGGTTCTCTTCTATGGTGCAGAATCTTTTATGCCCGCATCTCATGCATTTATTAGTTGGTTATTTTCCTCGGCTCTATCCTACACCTCCCGGTCGGCCGTCGGGGATGGGGGGTGCGCGCAGGGTTTGGGGGCCACAAAGAGAGGGCTTGCGGGCCGGATGTGGCCCGCGGGCCGCCATTTACGGACTGCTGCTTTAAGGTTTGCATTATGATGTTGACCAGAACCTATTGTTGACATTTAAATCCATTTATTTATTTATTTTTGCCAAACTTCTGTGTTGTTATTCAACTCATCTTGCTGTAAAACACAAAAACCTGTTTTTGAACACCTCTAGTTCTAAATGTCCCGTGTCATTTTGCTTTAAAAAGAGTGCTAGCTCTACCAGAAACACCAGCCTTGACTTCAAACCGGAGGGATCAGCCACACGGAACACCGCCGCCTCTGACAGAATCCATTACAGTCTATGGAGTTTATCCCATCTGGCCGCGACGTGGAAACTTCCGGAAGCAGCTCGTTGCACCAATAATGACAGGATCGTGTTCTGCCATGAGCCGCTTCTGGGACACGTCAGTTAACTTAGGGCTAGACAGGAATGGTTTCAGCGTAGAATGTCCGGTAAATTCAAAAATGCTTTTGGAGCGATGTGATTTCACGTCTGTGTAGATTGTGTCTATACGTGTGATCTGACGGCTTTATTTACTACCGGTTTCTTTCTAGAAGTGCAACGTTGTTTTTCATGGCTTTAATCCTATCAGTGGAGAGGAGCAATATTTATCACGCCCAACTGTGATAAAGTGATTTCCTTCTTTTTGGTTTAATGGCGGAGGGCGTGAGCAAACCGTGACCTTAGACGTCTCGAGGAATTTAGTGATCTCGCAAGTTTGGCGAGGAGGATGGCGGACAAGTTGCTCCATGTCCGACTGTCCCCATGTGGACTGACACACTACAAAGCGCGTGAGTAAACCCTTGCGCGGCCGTTCCGAGCCGCTGATGCCTCCAACGTGAAGTCGGAGTTGCACTTCACTGTGTGCAAGATGTGAACGTCTCAGTGGGCTTTACTTCATTTGATCATCGAGAAGAATCCAATGAATTGGTGTGTAAAAAAACTTCTTTTTTTTTTCATATTACAACCTGCTTGTTTAGTAAATTTGATAATGGTGTCAACCTTCAACAATGTTATTTTATCTATTTATTTATAATATTCTTTGCTGTTCAGAATTCTGCAGTAAGGTTCTTGACTGGAGCTGAAAGAAGACACCACATCTCACCTATTCTTAAAACGCTTCACTGGTTGCCCGTTAAATTCAGGATCAAATATAAAATTTTACTTCTCACGTTCAAATCCTTGAACGGTCAAGCGCTTCCCTATCTGTGTGATCTCCTTCATTACTACCACCCTCCTCGTGCTCTTAGGTCTGAAGATCAACTCCTCTTAACTGTCCCTAAGGCACGTTTGAAGACTCGTGGGGAAAGGGCTTTTTCAGTCTGTGCCCCAAAGTTATGGAACTCATTACCACTGCAGGTTAGGCAAGCTTCCTCTATCGCCGTCTTTAAATCTCGTCTGAAGACCGTCTACTTCACTTACGCATTCGATCCCTAATTCCATAACTCCTTAGCTCATCCATTGTCCCTCCTAGACAATTCAATTTTAATTTTGTGTTTTTATATTCTGGTTTTATTTGCTTTTACTGTTAATAGTCTGTTGTTTTATTTCTTTTGCTCTTTTTTACATTTTTTATCTACCTGACTATTTTAACTTGTGTTTTCTTGCTTGTTTTTTGTGCAGCGCTTTGTATGGTTGTAATGCCGTGTTGAAAGCGCTATATAAATAAAGTGGTACGGTATGGTAATTTGGGATTTTCACTAAAGAAAACAAAGCAGTGTTGGTTTATTTGCCTTTAGTCCTGAAGTTATTAACTGTACTTCTAATATTTCTGACCTGGACTGCATACAACAAATCTTTCTGCCCGACTTTTCAAATCAGAACCCCCTAACAATAAATAAAAATGAAATCATTTTTTAGAGTCATTACTGTAGAATGTAAATAAATTATAGGAGAAAACGACACAGATTAAACAAAAATTTCATCCTCTGATGAAATTATAAAACGCATCTTGTTGTCAGAGACTTTCTGATCCTGAGCTATTTTTCGGGCCTAGGCCACTCGATAGGCAGTCATACGATAGTAGTTCTGACTGTGGCTGCGCGCCGCCCACACCAGAAGCGCAGCGGCCATCATGTGCAGGGGCGAGGATATGAGGGCCAGGTAGAGGGACCAGCCCAGAGACCCGTCCACCTTGTCGGGAAGCATCGAGACCCGGTGGAGCAGGTCCATCCCAGCCAGGTAGCAGCACACTGTGGCTAAGGTGCACAGTCCTGCAAAGCACAAGATCACGTGTTTACAGAGAAATGTTTGAAATTATGTTTTGTTTGTGTAAAGAAAACAGGAAATAAAAGAGTGAATGCATTGATTTTTCTTGGATGTATTATTGAAACCAGCTCAGTGGCCTAAAGACTGGGAGGTCATGGGTTCAAATACCGGCCAGGTCAGACCAGAGACTTTAAAAGAAAGGGACCCAATGCCTCCCCGCATAAAGCGTTGGGATTGGGGGGTTAAACCTCCCTCAGGGGGTGGGTTAGATGTGGAGAACAAACTTCACACACACCAGTGTGACAACTAAGCCCTTCTCAGATTGACATTCCGGAATTTGTGTGGACAATTCAGTCCAGTTTTTAACCAGAACTGGGGGGGGGGGGGGTGTCGGACTTATGTTAAGCATAATTCTGCGCACACGAAGACGCATAAGACCTGGATGATGGTGCTCAATGGTTAACGGAATCACGGGAGCGGTGTGATGTGCTCCGTCGCGCGTCTAGGCGGTACCGTAGAAGGCGAGCTGCCATGGTTCACCGCATGCTACAGCAGCGGGCTACCTAGGAGCGCACAGCGTCCCCCGGTCCCCTCCTCCTCCCCCTCCTCCCTGTCCGGAACTCAACCTCACCAGTCTGAAGCAGCCACCCTGTCCGTAACAAGTCCGGACCTGTTACTAGGGGGCATCGTCCGGTTAAATTACGGAAAACGTTATCCGGATGTTTGTAGTCAGACACAAAGGTCTTACGGACAGAGTCCGGAACATTTCCATTTTTCATGGCCTGTCTGAAGGGGGCTCTAGTGGGACTTCTACTTTAATTTATGAAACTATGTCGCTTCAAACTATGATGCAGCTCTCACTATGCTTTGCAGAGAGCTGAACTAGAGAAAGAACTGCCAAAACCTAACCAAAATTCTCAGAACTATTGATCGTAAAAGTATTAAAAATTTGGTTCTGACTCTTTGAAGGTGAAATCTAAACAAAGAAGCAAATTAGGGGACAGTTAATGATATGTTGACGTCTTTGTGACTCGTATAATGTTTACAGCGGAGTGATGCAGGGGAACAGGTCTTACCAGCCAGTAGGTGAAGAACTCCTATAAACAGAGTCGGGGTGAGGCTTCGACAGAGACAGGCGAAGAAACCCGTCAGGCCTGCTAGCGCAACTAAACCCAGAGACGCCAAGGGCAACAGGAACTGGCACCTCCACAGATCTGAACGGAAACACACAGTTGGGGTTTTTGTAAAGAGACAATAAATATTACGCTAGTAGAGAAACTGGCTGAGCGTACATGTGCGCAGCATGTCCTCTCCACTGTTGTGGTTCCCTGGTTCTTTGTATTTGGGAGTGAACTGCTCAGGGAGAGTGAAGTTTCTGCACTCCAGCGTCAGCTTGACATCTGAAAGAGCGAGACACCATCAATTCAGCATCCTGATCATCACTTACCTCCCCCCCCCCCCACACACAGCTGATACACAACTAACTAAAACATCAAGTCAGGAAGTTTGATTAGTCAAGTATTTGGGAAACAACACAAACATCTACAGTAAAATGCAGGTAAAGACTGATGTTTTAAAAACATTCAAACCTTTTTGTGTTTTCTCACTTGTACTAGGTAGAGCCCGACCGATATACCCAATTTTTTCTATATCGGCCAAAACTACTTTAAAAAGCCAATTAAAAAAATAAATAAATAAAAATCAGGCACCTGTGTGGCCAACTGCCACTAAACTGAAGAAAGGACCTGAAGGACCCCAACACACCGTTGCTGTTTAATGTTTTGAGTTTGTTTTATATTTGAAGTTCAATAAATATTAAAAGATATATAGACTTATTTAATTAATATTGCACACAGTGAGTGTTCAGTTTTCTTTCACAATTAATGTGTTGCAAAAATGTTTATATGTAATAATATATATATATATATATAATAATAATCAGCTTTAGATATTGGCCATCGGCAACAAAATTCTTTAAAAATCGGCCTTAAAAACCCATATCAGTCGGCCTCTAGTATTATGGGTAACACTTTACAATAAGGGTCCCTTTATTAATGTTAGTGAGTTATGAAAGTATTAAAGTATTAACAACTGATTAATGTAAATAGTAAATAATGCATAAATATTCAGATATAGGCATATATGCATTTGTTTTTAATTATTATTTTTTTTGTTGGATGATTTTGTTTTTAATCATCTCCAATTGTCCTTGAATCTATTTTTAATTATCTTTATAGATTTATTTAGTCTTTTTTGTTTGCTTTTTTCTATTTTTTCTATTTTTATATTAATTATGTTTTAATTTGATGTGATTTTCTTTGTGAAGCACGTTGGGACTGTTTTCCTGCGCCAGGTGTTGATAAAATAAATACCAATAAATCACTGACGTCACCACCCACGTGACTCTCGTGTTTCTGGAAGACCCGTTAAGTTTCAGGTCACCGTTACAACACGGAGTCACAGCAGCTAGTAGCAGAGATCTCTACATACCTGGCTCTTTGTACCAGCGAGGGGAGCCAGGGACCAGCACACACCGCCACCACAGGCCCGCGGTCCCGTTCAGGCGGAACAGAGTGTCGCTGTAGGTCTTCTCGTCAAACTCCCCGGTCATGAACTCCTCGTACAGGGAGCGCAGCTCGGACACGTTGGCCTCTCCGCGCACGGTGGGGCTGCTGTACTGGTACCAGTGCTGCGTTCCCACGGCTACTGACAGGTACACGGTGGCCAGCAGGCTCAGCACGCTGGCGATCACTAGAGCCGTGGCGTAGCGGTTGTCAACCATTGTTCATCCAGACTGACACACGTCACAAAAAAGGGGATTAAGTTGATTGATTTGGTCCTCCAATAGGATTCTCGTCCATCCACTTGTATTTTCCAGTCACGCTGACGTGTTCTGATTCAAAAGATTAAGAGGAAAATCCGTACTAACTCCTAAAATACGTCCAAGCGTTTAATTTGAATGCTTCCAGTCCACCTTTCGTGGTGCAAAAACGGTCAGCAGCCCTGCGGCCCGGCTGGGATGCGCCATCTGTTCCCTCCTTGTCCCGCTTCCACAGATGGTGGGTGGCCCGCCTGACGCTGCGGTGGAACTCACTCCTCCGGCTAACAAACTCAGCAGACGTACGTCTGAAAGAGTATTATATCCAAGGCAGCACAAGCATTCAACAGCTAGTCTTTATGATTGTTTCCCTCTCTCCAGTTGGCAGGATTCTGGATAGAGTCAGGATGCTCAACGACGTAAACACGCTAATCACCATCACCTCCGGTTCCGCTGGTCAGCACAGTAAAAGACACGCTAGCTAGCTAACTGACCCTTTTTTCAGGACCCCCGTTGATCGCTTGCTAAGAGTTGCCCATTGGAACATTTTCATAACCTTCACGCTGGAACGTAATTTTATGATTGCCGACCCTGCATCTGGTTCTGAAGGGCGGATGGATTTACTCTGGATTAGGGCACCACTTCCTGTAAAAGCGGAAGTAGCGTCATTGTTTACAATAAACAGTGGTAAAAGTGCAGCTTCCTCACTATTCGTTAAAATTCATACAACAAAGGGGGCTTAAATTTCATAGACTTTAGCGTTCTCAATAATACATTTAAAATAAACGGGATCAAGCAATATCTCAAAAAACCCTACCTCTATTTGGAATTTCATTCCTCATCACGTCTGTTCGCAATTAGGTGGCCTAAAATTTATTCTGCTTTGTAATTACAAAATCCAAAAATTCCAATTAAACTCTCCAGCTTTCACCAACAGGTTCTTTTAGCGTGGGCAATGCTTTACAAGCACAACTTCTCTCCACGGAGATGTTATATTTGGAACAACTAAGAACAAGTCACTTTTTATGATAAATGGTTGAAAAAAATGTATTATACTAGCCAGTCAGCTCTTTAATGAGAATGGACTACTATACAGTTATTCAGAATTTCTTGCCAAATATAAGATTCGAATAAGCCCAAAACATTTTTTCTATAGTATTTGATGCTGTGCCCTCAGGTCTTCATAACTCAAATCTCTCCACTGTTATCATTGTCACCTTCAGATCTAACTCTGCTTCCACTAGGCAAAGTTTGTTTCTCTACCTATGAAACCTCAAACTCCAAAATTAGATCATTATTTCAGGCTGACCTAGTCTCTGTTTCACCTGCAACTGTCTACTGGGACAAGTTTGACCATGACATAGACTGGGGTAAAGTCTGGTCCCTACCACAGAAGTTCCTTTTAACCAACAAAATTAAAGGAGTCTCTTTCAAGATTCTACACAGGTGTATGTTTGAGTAAGTTTAAGAAAGATATTGGTGTAAAATGTTCTTTTTTCAACTTACATCCTGAAACTACTTCACATTTATTTTGGTCGTGTGAATTTACAAGTTTTGGAAAGACATTAACTCATTCTTAATTCACAACATTCTTCCTGGTTTCTCCCTGTACAGTAAAAATGTCATTTTTGGTTGTTTTGGTGACAGTGGAAAGGACAACGATGCACTCTTTCTGATAAACTTGATTTTATTTGTTGCCAAATTCCATATCCATAAATCTAAATTCTGTAATAAAAATGTTTTTTTGCTAAAGGTTGAACTGGAACAGTATATTTCCATTATTTCTTGTATACAGAACAAAAAAGCAGTTAAAACTGTGAACCTGTACTCTGTTTAATGTACATGCTTAATTAAACTTGTGTTTGCTTCATGTGTATTTATTTATTATTTAATTTTTTTACTGCATTTTGTGTGCTATGTTTTTAGTTTATTCTCTTATAGTATGTATGTCTTTTGACTGTTTGATTGATGTATCCCAATAAAGTAAAAAAAAAATGTGCAGCTTCTTCGTAGCTAATGTTCTGTTATTTCTCACTAATATAGAAGATTAAAATTACTTAAAATGGCATAAGTTTGTTTCCAGAAAGCCAAACCACCTTATTACATAGTAAAAGAGCCACACACACACACACACACACACACACACACACACACACACACACGAGTGGGAAAATAAAGCGAATGCAGCTTTGTTGCATTTTAGCATGTGTTTACGATCATGCAATAGGCTTGTACCTGTTTGCTTAGTTAAAGTAGGTGGCAACTATTTTTGACCAGGAAGTGCACCTTTGGCTCTCGTTTTTTTTCTCACTTCTTGTCTGGCTCAGGTGAATTCTTTAACTTTAACAATCCTCATGCAGGGTCAAGGGAAAAAAAGGCCCCATGTGGAAACTTTCTGGAGCTCTGCATCCGGATCTGTGTCCGAAAGTTTGGAAACCTGTGTGACTATCAAGTGTTACAAAACACTTGTAACCGTGTCTTTATTACAAAAGATTATCCAATAGCGGTATAAAGATGCTATGGGGGCGGCCTCTGCAGTGCTGCAGACTTGTATTTAAGTTGGACATAACTTTCTTTGTATTGCAATCAAAGCCGTGCTCATTACATTTTTTTGACAAGCCGCTACTAAAGGTGTCTGTTGATTACAGTCCCTGTGAACCGTCAGCTGATCTGAGCTCCAGCTCTAACGGAGAGAAGCTTCTGGAGCTCTGCATTTCTAAAAATATTTAGGTAAAAGCAGCTTTAAATAAAAGGGTCTTCAGCTGTTTTTTTTTAAAGTGTTCAGACTGTCAGTAAGTTATTTGGGCATAAAAAGGGGAGCTATGCATAGACGAAAAAGAACACAGCATTCATAGAACACCTGCTACCTACAGTAAAACATGGTGGTGGTTCCATCATGATGTGGGCTGTGTGGCCAGTGCATGGATTCCACTCAATGTCAGCAGATTCCGGAGACCAATGTCCAGGAATCGGTGACAAAGCTGAAGCTGCACCAGGGCTGGATCTTTTCAACAAGACAACGACCCTAAACACCGCTCAACATCTAAGGCCTTCATGCAGAGGAACCAGGAGAACGTTCTGGAATGGTCATCTCAGTCCCCAGACCTGAATATTACTGAATATCTGTGGTGTGTTAGAGAGGGCTGTCCGTGCTCAGATGCCATCTAACCTGAATGAACTAGAGATGATTTGTAAAGAAGAACGGTCCAGAATACCTTCAGCCCGGATCCAGACTCTCACTAGAAGACATAGGAAGCATTTAGAGGTTATTTCTGCAAAAGGAGGATCTACTAATTATTGAGCTCATTTCTTTTTTTGTGGTGCCCAAATTTCTGCCTAATTTTGTTTAAACAATTATTGCACACTTTCTGTAAACCCTATAAACTTTGTTTCACTTCTCAAATATCACTGTGTGTGTCTGCTATTTGTTTAACTGAATGTTTTTTTATTAACGACCAACGATTTATACAAGAAAATTATGAAGATTACTAAGGCTGCTCAAACTTTCACATTCCCCTGTAGTGCCTCTAAAGACAAAAACCATGACGTGCTTCACAAGAACAAACATTTTAAAAATGAAAAAGTCAATTAAAATGATTTAAAAATATCAGAAAAATGACAAAAGTAAAAGAAAATGTAAGGAAAGGGAAAGAAAAAAATCAATAAGCTTGGCAATTTTTTGGTCCAGTCAAACATTCTCTTAGGAGTTAAAAGTGTTGTCAAAGAGTGTACTACAGTGAAAAAAAGTTTCAACAAAACCCTCTTTAGTATCCTACCTTACCCAGAAATCTGTGACACTTCCTGTGAGTGGAGCTTTTACCTCGTTCTGTAGAACTTTCTCTTTTCTTTGTCCAACTTCCTTCCATAAATAGTGACAGTAGCTTTAACAAAGTCACATTTTGATACATTTGGAGTGAGCAAGCCCCCACGATGCGGCTCAAAAATTGAGTCCAACCTGGAAGTAACACAAATTGCAGTTCCACCCTCGTCCGCTGGGGGCTGGTGTCAGAAGCGAGGCTGGAGCATTAAAAAACGACCTGATGGCTGCCGTTTTTCGTTTCTCTGCCATTTCAACTGACCTGGTCTGCTGACAGCTGGACAGCAACACACACAGAGATGGGATATTGTCATTAGAATGGAGCTGGAGGATATTGATCAACAATAATATCTTGCCAATTTTGTACATCTCCATAAGCATAATTTCTTTATGTTTTCATTTCAATAACAAGACTGTGGCTTAAAACGGAATAAGCAATTCAGAATAAAGATTTAAAAGTAGATCGTTAATAGTTGAAGCAACATGTCCTGAAATGACACGGCTATCAGCTGACCAACAGCTACACGTGTGGACAGATGCAAAGCATTAATTTTAAGCACTAAAACATATCTAACTTTTTCACAACAAAGAGAGAGAACATAAATGTCAAATTAAAATTTTATTAAATCACATAACATGAAAGCTACTAAAATCCAAATAGTTCCACATTGATTTTAATATGTTTGAAAATTTCCTTCTAAATATGGCTAGAAAAAATAACAAACTTCAAATCAGCTTTCACAAGTCAAGTATCAAAATGACTGAAATCTCTTTAATAAATCATAGAAATGTTTGTAGGCTATTAGAGAATAACTGTAATATTTAATAACTTTATCTAAGTCCTACTGAACAAAAAGATACACAAAATCTAAAAATATATTCTTGAAATATTTGTTTCATTTTAATAATAAAAACTAAAACCATTTACTTTACAAATACACTAAACATATACATACTCTATAGTTTATCTTTCAGTTTAACCAATCCCTCACTTTTCTCAGTTTTCGTAGTGTTTTTGGGTCTGTGTGGCCAACGGGATCTTTGGCTCTATGTTTTACACTGAGAGCTTTGAGCAACGTGCCTCCACCACACATTTGCTGCAACCAGTTCATCCCTAAGCTGCACGGTGCACCTGCACTTTGACATATTGTAAACACCCGCAGAGCCTGGGGAAGACGGGATAAGAGCAGTTAAACGCTGTGGTTTTCCATACATCGGACCAGTTAGTTTTGATTCTACCACATTCATCTGCTAAATAGGATGAAACGCGGACATTTTCATCAATCTATAAATGCTCTGCAGATTCCAGGGGCAGACCGTGAAAGCGTACGTGTCCGGAAAAAGCAACTTTTGGTCACCTTAGTGAATGGAATAATAATAGCGGAATAATCCTGGAATGACCAGAGAACATGAAGTGACAACTTTTTTTTACTGTGGTGGTCTGTCATAAAGGAATCTCCGACCGGTGATCAAAATCTAAAGATAATCGGTGTCTATGTTTGACATTTATGACCACATTTGACATACATATTTAAGTTTGTAGAACAAGCGTGTGATAAATGACTTACTGCTGGAAACCGCTGACTTTTTGATTCCCGCCTCCTGTGAGCCTGCGGGCTGCTGTGAAGCTGTGAGCGGGGCAGAGCCGGCAGACCCGCCCGTTGGAAACAGCGCGTGTGGTACAAACTTGAGGAATTGGGGGGTGGGGGGGGGGGGGGGGGGGGGGGGTGGGGGGGGGTGGGGGGGTGGGGGGGGGGGGTGGAGACTATAATTTCTCAACAATTAAAAAAACATTGTTTTGTATTTGCAGACTAACTTTTACGTTGTGGTTTTAGAAGACAATAC